GGTCGTCAGCTGAGCAAGTTTTCATGACTAGGCATCAAAAGGACAACCCAGATAGGAAGGAAAGCACTGACCTGCAGACGGCCTTCTTGTTGGTGGTGCAATGAGAGCTGAGGTTCCAGAGAGCGCTCAGAGTGGTTCGGAGAGTGGGTTCCCGTTTTGCGGAGAGGACGGCCAGTGTGAGACGATGAGCTGCCTGCACCCTTCGCAGTGCAATCATACTGCGCGAGTCCGTGCGCCAGCTGAGGTTTCGCAGCACGCTCGCCGCCACCTAGAGAGGTGAAAAGTTTGCTCAAGGGGGAGGAGTTATTATCAAGACACAAAGTAGCATTATTTAACTCCATCCTCCAAAAGAAGGAGTGAATGAAACCTTAAAATAGTCCCGAGGCAATGTATTTGGATTTACACCCTCGGACCTTCTCTAGAGGTGCTGATAAGAAAACAAGAGTGGAAAAAAACCAGAACTAGCAAGTCAAATCAGTTTTGTCATTTTTACCATAAATTTCCATCGGACAGCGGAGTTCTCGTCTATTTATATTTGCTGATAGGATTCATGTTCAGCGTCAGATCTTTTGGCCTCACTATTTATAAAATATCCATTTGAGTTGACCCAACTGTGAATAAACTGGAGGCGTTCGGCGGGATTTGAACCCGCGTATTAGAGAAGGCCTTTACCGGAAGCCAACGCTCTAACCAATTGAGATACAAGCGCCTCACCTCGTGCCATGAATTGCCGAATGACTTAACCATTGAGCCCATCACGCATCCAGAAAACCTTGTATTCAGACTGGATCGCATGAAACTTTTGGACGTGCAGTGTGGACCCAGGTATTGAGGATAGCAATATAGTCACAACTACAAGGTCTCCAGCACGACCGTAAACAACTCGCAAGCGTTCTGAACAAGTCTTGTAACTCAAACAAATCATTGCCCGGATCAGGTCGGTCCGGAGTGAAATACAAGATGCGCATCTCTGTTACCAATAAGAAGGGGAAATGCGCCATAATAAGATTGGGAAAAAAAAACGACAATCTTGTTTTCAAATGCGCGAATACTGATAGAGTTTAAGAGAAGTGGTTCACAGTGCTTTTTTATAAAAGGAATGTTTCCAACACCGCTGTAATCCCTTACTTTGGAGCTTGCGTCAAACAACAGAAATAACCAAACAACAGTGGCCAAATTTGGTGCTGCCAATGGATAATGCTGCATACGCTAGGCTTAAGATCATAACGAGAAAAAAAAGCAAACGAAGGTTTAGAAGTCATTAACGAAGAATGCACGTTTGGTCAACCGTAAAGTGACAGTAATGCAAATATCCGACCTGTTTAACCAGTTGTATGAGCAAGATCGACGGCTGAAGAAGTTAGAATAACCAAATATATGCACCAAAAGGCTGCTCTTATTCTTTTTCAGTTAACTGTGGAATAGTTTTTCCACAGATATTTGTGCCTTTACCAGAAGCTGAAAGGGGGGTAGAGGTGGCCTGAACCACGAGTGTATTCCAATCGGAGTATTCGCAAGCGCCATTAGTAGGACACGCACAGCAGATTCGTGACTGTGGAGAATAAACTCTCCTTTTTTGTGTACTATGACCATGCACATGATTCTGATGGACGCGCAGCTGAGATAATCCTGTTTTAACGGGCCAGAGATTGACTGTAATTTTGG